ATTTAAATTACCCCAGAGTAGCAGAATTTGGGGGAAAACTGAGAATGGTAAAGAGCACAAAATTTGCTGATAAATTTACCATAGCTCCTTTCACTACTAATTAACATTTTTGACTGTGGTGGTAAATATTGAAATTATTTTCTAAAATTAAATGAGAGGGGCCTGCATTGTGGCATAGCAGGTAAAGCCACTGCCTGCAATGCCATCATCCCAGATTGGTGCTGGTTCAAGTACCAGCTGCTCCACTGCCAATCTAGTTCCCTCTTAATGGTCTTGGAAAATCAGTGCAAGATGGCCAGCAAGATGGCCAATGTGTTTGGGCCCATGCCACCCACATGACAGCTCTCTCTGTCTCTAACTTTTTCAAACAAGTAAATGAATCTTTAAAAATTAAATGAGAGCAAGAGGAAATCTCAGAATACTGAAGACCAAAGTTTTTTGTGCTATTCATTTGTCACCTATTTTATAATACTGAGATACTATCTTTCAAATACCACCTTTCATTTATATGATTTGAGCCCTCCACATATAAAATGAATTAATGTTTTCAACTGCTAAGAAGGTTGTCGGTTCTTTGCTGAGATGCCTGCCTGGACTGCCAGTTGTATTCTCTTCATTAAACTTCACTCGCTTGCTAACTGCCCAAAAATAAATAAGCGAAAGTTCTACCCTGAATTTTGGTAGGCATTGAGGCTTTCTTTTAAAAGGAAGGCTGTTTTTTTTCTTTTAAAAGGAAGATAAGATTCAACTCTGAAATTTTCAGATAGGAAAGAAATAATTATCGCTATATATTGAAACATAACATAATTTTTAAATGTTTCATTGTCAAGACCTCTAGGGATTTTCTTCTTTTTCATTCATTTTATTTATTTGAAACACAGACACAGACACACACACACACACACACACACACAGCTTCTACCCACTGGTTCACCACCCACATGCTGGCCAGGAGCCAGGAACTCAGTCCTGGTCTCATACATGAGTGGCAACGACTCAACTACTTGATCCATAACTGGCTGCCTACCAGGATGTGTATTAGCAGGAACCTGGAATTGGGAGTAGAGCCAGTACTAAAACCCAGGCACCAGAAAATCAGAATATGGGATGTAAGCATCCTGATCTCTGGTTTTTGAAGCAAATTCAAATAATTGGTTCAATTGTTCATTTGCAAATATTATACATTTCATTTACTAAAGTAATATGAATTTTATTTTCCTGTGCAGACACAAACACATTATGAAATGTCTTATAGGAGACCAGTGGTTCAAGGTCTGGACTATTGTTTATTTTCCAAAAGAGATAATTGATAAAAATCTCTAAATAGGTGGTGAGGGTAAGTGGGATTTCAGACCCATAATGGAGATCTTGACCTACAGTCCAGTAACAAATATTTCATTTAACACTTCCACAGGGTGGGTATTGGACCTACTGGGTAACACGCCTATTGGGACACCTGTGTCCCATGTTGGAGTGTCTGGATTTGAGTTGAAGCTCCACTTCTGATCCAGCTTCCTGCTAATGCACACTCTGGGAGGCAGCAAACATGGCTTAAGTAATTGAGTCTCTTCTGTGGGAGACCTGGATTGAGTTCTTGACTATGGTCTTCAGCCAGATTAGCCCATTTGGAGAGCAAATCTATCTTTCTGTAACTTTTTCTCTGCATCTCTCTGCCTCACAAATAAATAAATAAACACTTCTGCTAATTTTCTTTTCTCACATTGATAGTATATTAAAAATGATAAACAGAAATAATCTTATATTCTCTCTTCTATTTATTTTCTGTGTTTTCTTTTCAACATATAAATATTTCATAGCTTTCTGCAGTTCTTGGTTGTTTTCTTCTTGCTCTTTTCCACAAAGTTTCTATTGGACTTGCTATCCCCTGCGCAGATCTGTTCTTCTTGTCACTTAAGAAAGGAAAAACTTAAGTAAAAAGTGTTTGGACCAAGTCTGATGGTCAAACCCTATGAAAAGTAACTTAGCAACAGTCCCTTGACCTCCTGAAAGTTTCAATCTTCAGTTCAACAAAAAAAAATAACATAAAATAAGACTATGATTCAATAAGCAATTTACAATGTAAATGTTTAAAAAGCAACTACAATTACAAAATTTTTTTAAACACAAATTTGTGCTGGATACTCATCTCTATTTTCAGGTAATACTCTACAGTCAATACCATGCCCATGCCAGCCTCACAAGGCATCTCTCCTGAAGTTGTTCTACAGTAAGAATTAGTGCTTAGTTTAATCACTAAGAAATTAAAAATGAATAATAATTCAAATGAAAATTTAATTTTAATATCATTGAAGAATGAACAAAAGACTAAAACATTTTGTGAAAGTATTATTTCAACTAAAAGTGTTATTTTTGGGACATTGGTTAGCAGGAATCAAAAACCATATTTAATTCTATATTATCATTTCTATTAATACCCCTTGTTCTTCTAATATTCATAATTTAACAGATTGCATATCCATCCAACTAGCCAGATCAAGACACAGAGCTAGGATTAAGGTTGACACCTCCTCTTTCAGTCAATTTCCAAATCCTACTAATTGTGCTCCTTAAATATCCAGTAAGCCCATCTATGTGCCTCTGTCTTTCCTACTGATGGTATTATTGGATAAACTTCCAGTACCCTGCCACAGGCCCAGCTGGTCCATTATAATCCTCTGAAATGGTCACTCTCAGCTTGAAATACTGTACACATTTGCTCTTAGGACAAATTTCAATCCCTTAGCATAAATTACAAATCCTCAATGATTTGTTCCACACCATCCCACTACATGTTTCATATTTGTCTCAAACTGACCTTCTCTATCTTCTTTTCTCCCCTCACATCAGCTGCACTGGAGCTCCAATCTCTTGCTTACTTGCTTTCCAACAAGCTCCTCCTGCTTCCACCAATCAGGTGCCTTCTTTCATTGCCTGTCCCCCTTGTATCTCTCAAGCTCTATTTTTTTTTTTTTTTTACAGGCAGAGTGGACAGTGAGAGAGAGAGACAGAGAGAAAAGTCTTCCTTTGACGTTGGTTCACCCTCCAATGGCCGCCTCGGCCGGCGCACTGCGGCTGACGCACCGCGCTGATCCGAAGGCAGGAGCCAGGCACTTATCCTGGTCTCCCATGCGGGTGCAGGGCCCAAGCACTTGGGCCATCCTCCACTGCACTCCCTGGCCACAGCAGAGAGCTGGCCTGGAAGGGGGGCAACCAGGACTAGAACCCGGTGTGCCGGCGCCGCTAGGTGGAGGATTAGCCTATTGAGCCACGGCGCCGGCCTCAAGTCCTATTTTAAATGCCATTTCCTGAAAAAAGTTTTTCTTGATTCATAATCTAAATTCACTCAGTATTGTAATCATTATGTCCATAGGCTTAGGTTCTGGGTTTGCAGTCATTTGCAATTATGTGGCAGGTAAAAGATGTCATTGATTTTAAAAATCAGCAAATTTTATAATGAAAACATATTATCTATTATTTATTAACATTGAAGAAAATTATCCATTTCATTGCACTATTTGGAGTAGTTAACAGAACACTAATGGAAGGTCTAATGCTTCCTATGGCTTGAAGTTTTCATAATATTAAAAATAATCATGCAGCCGGTGTCATAGTGTAGTGGGCTAAGCCTCCGCCTGCAGCGCCGTCATCCCATATGGGCACCTATTCGAATCTCAGCCACTCCATTTCTGACCCAGCTCTCTGCTATGGGCTGGGAAAGCAGTGGAAGATGGCCCACGTGCTTGGGCCCCTGAACCCATTTGGGAGATGGGAAGAAGATCCTGGCTCCTAGCTTCAGATTGGCTCAGCTCTGGCCATTTGGGGAGTGAACCAGCATACAGAAGACCTTTCTCTCTGCCTCTCCCTCTCTCTCTCTCTGTAACTCTGCCTTTTAAGTAAATAAATAAAAAGCCATTAAAAAAAGTCATGAGTAGAACTCTTTACCTGTGTGTTTGTTTTAAATGAAATGATAAATTTCTGGTTGAATATTTCTATGTAACAGAATTTAAAACACAGTTCTCAAAGCTTCAAAAACATTCACATAAATTATTTTTCATAATATTAATATCAATAATATTGATATGAGCAGAGATACATAAGTTTTGAGACATCTGAGAAGGTACTTTCTGACCAAATGTTTTTGTGTGTTGTTTTATGTTCTCAAGAATATTGTATTAATAGTACTTCATTAATGACACTTTGTTGCTCTCTCAAAACAATTCCACAATGTAAGAAAGGGGGTGTCATTATCCCCATTGCATAGGCAGAGAGAGTTTGAAAGGCTCACCAAGAGCCACCATCTGTTTGGTTATGGACCCTGAATTAAAAGTGGGGACTTTGGACTTGAACTTCAGAATTCTCATTTGCACTACTTGCCCCACTTCATGAAAAATCCCACGTTGGTACCACTGGGGTAACAATACACTCTACAGATACTGAAACCTTAAAATATAAAGTATCAATGAAGATTGCAAATTAAATCTTGCCTAGATATGAATGAATCTACCATTCATTTTCACTGATGTCAGAAGGACCCTGAGTTAATACAGATATATGATATGTGGTAGGAAGCTGATAAAAAAGGTTGACACAAAAATAGGAGGAAGGGACACGTTAAGGAAATGTTTCACCCTTACTTCTTTCACTGATCACTTTTATACAAGAGAAACTCGTTATAACCAAACATGCTCTCTTACGAAGAGTAGCTCTTTTTAAACTATTTTATCTGTCAATAAATTAAATGAATGGGTATTTTAATCTGTCAGTGATAGTTACAGTATCTTAGGATAGCACCGTAAATTTATGGCATTTCTCTATATACATTATTCAACTTTATCCTTGCAACAGATATACGGTTGTTTATTTTCTATGGACAATCAAACTCTCAAAGACTTACTGGATGAAACAAAGACAAAATCCCTTTCTTCAAGCTCTAATATGTTTCTGCTTCCCAAACCCCATTATGCCCATGTCATTGAGCATTATTTGCAGCACATACTTACATTTCATCACAGCTTGAATTTCATAAACTGGCTTGAGAAGCAGAGCACCACGAAAGTCTTTAGGGAATGGGTTTGTTGAATCCCACTTATTTGAAATATCCGTAAGTTTCACAATTCGTGTTCTATTCCTGGGAATCTTCCATTCAACAATCTCCTTTAGGGTATAAATATGTTCATCTTCACACTCATAAAATTCACCTTCTTTTGACAAAGGCAAAGGAAAAGAGTGATTTTGATGATTCCTCACTACTGCACAGTTCACCATTACTTCCCCATTGATCTCTTCAACTGAATTGAGCACGATCTGTTCACCCTGCTTTATGGTAAGATTCTCTAGTTTTATATCCTTTTGGTGATAGAAACAAGGGTGCCCCAATCGACTTGGTCCAATATGAATGGTTCTTGTAATTTCTTTCAGAGAAACGTATGGAGTTTTGTCAGCCACGATCTTAAAAAGACCTAAGAAAAAATTGTGTGAATTAAAGAAAGTTCCTACCATGAAAATTCTCATAAGAAAATCACAATGAGAGAGTTTTAAAGTAACTATTGCATGGCTTTTAGAAGTAATATACCTTTTTTAAAGATTGGAGATACTTGTTTTAATCCTGAATTCATTTAGGTAAAAATGTAATACATTATTTCTAAATTATTATCATCAGATCAGGCAATATAGAGAAAAGGGGGACTTATATTGAAATAGATACGCTGTTGGAAATGGGAACTTTGAATGAGATACAGGCTTTGTCCCAACTACCAGTGTGATTCCAAGCAAGCCATTTAATCTCTCAAGAACACATTTTTATATTTTATTGCTAAAAATGAGAAGATTGGATTAGAGCAGTTTTAACCAATGTAGTCTCCAGACACACTAAAAATAAGAAATATTCCAGAAGGAAAATGATTCATGACCAAATTGATGATGTAAAAGCTATACAGCTGGAACTGGTTAGTAGATAATGGTGGTTGTACACAACATTGGGAATCTATTTAACAAAATTAAGTTGTACACTTAAAAATGGTCAATATTATGTTACACATACTTTACTATAACAAAAAATATCTGCATTATCCTATTTAGTGTAAAATTGCTCAGAAAGTTTAGATGTATTGTGACATTCAAGAGGGCATTAAGATACTCAGAATCTCTCAAATTTCTATGATTATAAAAATCTTTAGAAAAGCATGCAATATTAAATCACAACACAGTGTATCAGTGTTTTTCATAACCTTCCTTGGAAAATACCATGTAAGTTACTCTGGATTGAATAATCTTGATTATGTGTCATTCTTCTCATTATTTCTCTAATTTTTCAATTAGAAAATTTCACAATTTTACTATTTGAATTTTTCTCTCCAAACCTGTTCACATAATCTCTACTAGGGTAAGTTTTTATTAGGGTGGGTGTTGGTGCAAGGGCTTAAATTGTTAACCCAGATATCCACATGTCAAAGTGTTAAGTTCAGAGATGGAGCCAAGATGGCAGAATAGTGAGGGTGCACACTGATAGTCCGGGAAAAGAAAGTTTAATAAAAGTGGAGTTACTGTAGTCTCAGGGAAAGGCTAGGGAAAAAATTGAAGAGGAAACTCTTGCGGATATAGTGGATGTGACACGACCTACAGGGAGAACAAGGAAGCCCACGGCTCGGAAGCCCAACTGTGGAGTCTGCACACCAGTGCTGGAAGGGGAGGTGAGACAAAAACCTCTGTAACCTGAGACGTTGGCAGGGAAATGGCAGAAAGAGCCTAGAGGGAACGAGGCTTGAAGCCCCACTGGGGAAAGTTCACCGGGCTGACTGGAGGAGAGAAAAAAATGAATAAATAAGGGGAACCGGCATGGACACGAGCCTCTCTCTCCACTTGGGGAGAAATAAAAGGAGGTTAGGACCCAGTGAAGGTGTGGAGCTAATGAAATGAGACTGAAAATCTGAGGGTGGGCGAGAGAACTCATGGAGTACACAAACTAGTTAACCTTGGCAACCCAGTGGGAAACTACAGAGAAATTTGAGACCACACTGAGGGCTGCATAGACCCTTTGTGTGGTCCTTGAGATAGAGCAGACGAATACCCACAGGGGCCAGATTTCATACATTGACTACCCTCAGTTCCGCTCAGCTGTGCGGAATTACTTCCCTTCTGAGTCAAAAAAAAAAAAAAAGAGAGAGAGAGAGAGAGAGAGAGAGAGAGAGAAAGAACAACCTGGGTGAGTCACCTTTGGCACACCCTTAACCCTGAAGAACCAAACAGAGCTCTCTGGCCACACCCATCACAGCCTCAAAAGCAGACAGTCCACTTAATCGAGAGTCATAGCAAAAAGAGAAAAACCACTACAATGAAGAAACCAAAGAATATCTCCAGAATGCCAAACAAACACACAAACCGAGGAAACAAGAACAAGGAAGACATTATGACGTGCCAAATGAACAAGACAACACAATTCAAGATTATGAAGATGATGAGACAGAAGAAATGCAAGAAACAAATCTCAAAAAATTGATAAGAACATTAAGAAGTTCTCAAAAACAATTTTTTTTACAGTTCTATCAATCCTGTACTTTGGATTTATTTTTTAGTATATATAAATTTCCAAAGTACAGTTTATGGATTACAATGGCTTTCCCCTCCCATAATTTCCCTCCCACTCGCATCCCTCCTACCTCCCACTCCCTCTCCCATTCCATTCACATCAAGATTCATTTTCAATTCTCTTTATATACAGAAGATCGATTTAGTATATATTAAGTAAAGATATCATTACTTTGCACCCACACAGAAACACAAAGTGTAAAATACTGTTTCAGTACTAGTTATAGCATTACTTCACATTGGATAACACATTAAGGACAGATCCCACATGAGAAGTAAGTACACAGTGAGACCTGCTGCTGACTTAACAACTCTTATTTATGGCATCAGTAATCTCCCTAGGCTCTTGTCATGAGTTGCCAAGGCTATGGAAGCCTTTTGAGTTCGCCGACTTAGATCTTATTCCAACAGGGTCATAGTCAAAGTGGAGGTTCTCTCCTCCCTTCAGAGAAAGGTACCTCCTTCTTTGATGACCTGTTCTTTCCACTGGGATCTCACTCACAGAGATCTTTCATTTAGGTGTTTTTTTTTTGTTTTTTTTTTTTTTTTTTTTTTTTTTTTTTTTTTTTTGCCAGAGTGTCTTGGCTTTCCATGCCTAAAGTACTCTCATGGGCTCTTCAGCCAGATCTGAATGCATTAAGGGCTGATTCTGAGGCCAGAGTGCTATTTAGGACATCTGCCATTCTATGAGTCTGCTGTGTATCCCACTTCTCATGATGGATCGTTCTCTCCCTTTTTGATTCTATCGGTTAGTATTAGCAGACACTAGTCTTGTTTGTGTGATCCCTTTGATTCTTAGACCTATAAATGTGATCAATTGTGAACTGAAATTGATCACTTGGACTAGTGAGATGGCATTGGTACATGCCACAATGATGGGATTGCATTGGAATCCCCTGGCACGAAAAACAAATTCTTGAACTACAGAAATCCTTACTGGACAGGATAGAAAATCTCTCTCACGAAAATGAAATATTAAGGAGGAATCAAAATGAAATGAAATAACTAGTAGAACATGAAACTTTGATTGAAGAGAAATCATAATGAAATGAAGAATTCAATAGATCAAATGACAAACACATTAGAGAGCCTTAAAAACAGAATGGATGAAGCAGAAGAGAGAATATCGCACTTAGAAGACAGAGAACAGTATACAGTCAAACCAAAGAAAAGAAGAGGAAATTAGAAATCTAAAAAATACTGTCAGGAATCTACAGGATACTATTAAAAAACCAACATTCGGTTTCTTGGAGTTCCTGAAGGCATGGAGAGGGAGAAAGGATTAGAAGGCCTTTTTAGTGAGATATTAGCAGAAAATTTCCCAGGTTTGGCGAAAGACTGAGACATCCTAGTACAGGAAGCTCATAGAACCCCTAATAAACATGACCAAAAGAGATCCTTACCACTACACATTGTAATTAAACTCACCACAGTGAAACATAAAGAAAAGATCCTAAAATGTGCAAGAGAGAAAATTCAGATTACTCTCAGAGGATCTCCAATTAGACTCACAGCTGACTTCTCAACAGAAACCCTACAGGCTAGGAGAGAATGGCAAGACATAGCCCAGGTGCTAAGAGAGAAAAGCTGCCAGCCCAGAATATTATATCCTGCAAAGCTCTCATTTGTGAATGAAGATGAAATAAAGACTTTTCATAGCAAACAGAAATTGAAAGAATTTGTCACCACTTGTCCAGCCCTGCAAAAGATGCTTAAAGATGTGTTACACACAGAAACACAGTCATCAATATGAAAGAAGGTAAAGGAAGGAAACCTCACAGCAAAAGATCACAGGAAGTTCAAAGCATATGTTAGAAAATATCTTTGGGAAAATGGCAGGGCAAAGTTACTACTTATCAATAGGCACATTGAACGTTAATGGACTCAACTCTCCAGTTAAAAGGCACAGACTGGCTGAATGAATTAAGGAACAAAACCCATCTATTCGCTGCCTACAAGAAACACATCTTTCCAACAAAGATGCATGCAGACTGAAAGTGAAAGGTTGGAAAGAGATATTCCATGCCAACAGAAACCAAAAAATGCAGCAGTAGCCATATTAATATCATACAAAATAAACTTTAACACAAAAACTGTTAAGAGAGACAAATTGGGGCACTATATAATGATTAAGGGTTCAATTCAACAGGAAGATGTAACTATTATAAATGTATATGTACCTAATTACAGGGCACCGGTTTATTTAAAATATATGTAAAGGGACTTAAAGGGAGACTTACATTCCAATACAATACTACCGGGGGACTTCAATACTCCACTCTCAGAAACAGACAGATCAATCGGGCAGAAGATCAACGAGGAAACAGCAGATTTAATCGACACTATAGACCAAATGGATATTTCAATCCTACATTTAAAGATTTTACATTCTTCTCAGCAGTGCATGGAACCTTCTCTAGGATTGACCACATACTAGGCCATAAAGCAAGTCTTAGCAAATTTAAAAGAATTAGAATCATACCATGCAGCTTCTCAGACCACAGTGGAATGAAGGTGGAAATTAGCAACTCAGGAATCCCTAGAGAGTATGCAAGCACATGGAGACTGAACAATATTCTCCTGAATAAACACTGGGTCATAAAAGAAATCAAAAGAGAAATCAAAAACTTTCTGGAAGTAAATGAGGATAACAATACAACATATCAAAACTTATGGGATACGGTAAAAGCAGTGTTGAGAGGAAAGTTTATAGCAGTAGGTGCCTACATCAAGAAATTGGAAAGGCACCAAATAAATGAACTTTCAATGCATCTCAAGGATCTAGAAAAACTGCAGCAAACCAGACCCAAATCTAGTAGGAGAAGAGAAGTAATTAAAATCAGAGAAGAATAACTGTGAATTAATTACAGAATTA